AAATAAATACTGATTAGAACACAAAATTTAAAGAAATAAATTCTTATTCAGTGTAGAATTCATCCTTCATTTTAAGGGATAATTATGCTAAATGTCAAGACCAGGCAAATTGGTTTTGTTTCAGTTTGTCCTATTATATAATCCTTTGCCATTTCTCTTTTTATCTCTAAATAAATACAAATACATCTCAAAATTACAATGTCATAAAAAATGTCAATGGCATTCATTTAAAAAAGTTAAACTCACATATACATTTATGACACATAGTGAAATACTTCTAGGATTGTGTCTTGTATTTTAGATTACTATGCCCCAAAAATAAAAATGTAATATCAGTAAGCTTTTCCTGACCACCTCACAGAGCCTCGAGAAAGATGGAAAAATCAGTGAGTTGTAGCTACACTTGGAGCTCATCACCCAAAATAGCAGTGAAAATCTTTTCTATAATCATTAAAAAGTGTGTAAATAAATTGGGACATTCCTTTTTTTAAATAAAGGGCAAATAAAAACATATTTTTAAATGGCTAGTCCTTTTCAGCTTAAATGTAAGTTAAGTCTTAAATGTTGCATAGCCTGCTATCCATAGTCTGCGTTTCATTTGTTTCAAGCGGCACCCGTCAGAGCTCATCTACTACTTGATCATTTGAACCAAACTGTTGATGTTTGGGTTTCTGCAGGTGCTGCTGGTCTCTCAGGTGCAGCCTCTGCTGTTGTGGCCAGTGTTGGAGCTGGTGTTGGAGCTGCTGTAGGGCGACTGGCAGGAAAAACAAGCACACCAAAGAGGGAGGAGAGGAAAAATGATCAGTTGGGAAAAGAAGAAAGACAAAAATGAAAAATAGGAAGAATTAGAATTAATATAACACTGTTTTGTTTACTTGTCTGGTTGTTTTGTATCCTTGTCTCAGAATTAATGGTCTGTATATATATTTTTAATTGACAGTTTCTATATAAATGAACTGACATTACATCACAGTCTAACTGGTCATGAAATTTAAAAATTTTAATTTAAAAACTTACTGGATATTTGTTTTTGGAACTTTCTAAATATACTCCAGAGCCAATGTATATCATAAAAAAATATTTGGTATTTAATAAGTTACATGAACATTTCAAGAAAGTTCCTTGTAAGTTTGAGGAAAAAATAAATGGAAAGTTTCAAAAGAAACCTCTATGTTCAAGAACAGTGGCCATTAAGTTCCATAAACACTGGACAAATATTTGGAAAGTTTTGTAAAGTAACCACTAAGTCCTGAAAAGTTCAAGACTTAACAGCATGACTGGTAAGGGTCTAATGTTGCCTGGGCCCCAGTTATTTCCCCAAATGTATCAGCAAAGAGAGAAACAAATACCACAATATATTGAAACACCTTTTCTGGATTTATTGATATATTATTTACTTATTTATCTATTGAGTGCAAATATTTAGTACAGGTTGAAGTTTTAGAACTGATGCACACATGTACAAAGTTTTTTTTTTATTCCGCTCTCAGAATGAGTAGAAATAGCATTTCCTCAAAATTTAAAAAATGCCAGCAGCATTATCCACACATCCCAATGACCTTTACCAAGACATGTTCACAGCAAAAATAAAAATAAAAAATTCATTCATACTCAGATTATACATGTTTGAATTTCAGAATCTACTCTTTAAAACATATTAGATAAGAGCAACATGACTTTAACTCTACTGGAGATGAAAAATATATTCCTTCTCTGTGCTATGGACTGTCTTGCACTTTTACAGTTACATTACAGATGCTTGATATCATCCACGCTACCATACTTCCAGTACCAGCCGCTGTTCCTGCTCCAAGCCATCCTAATCCTGCCATTCCTGTAATGAAACAATACATTTGAGGAAAAAGTCAGCATTTAACTTTTGTAGCTTGAGGCAACCTTTAATTTGGACTTTTAAATCTTCAAACATCTTTTAAGTTTAGCCTAAATTTAGCATCATTTTCAAAAAGAACAACTCGATTCTCAAAACAGAACCCAGGTTGAATGTTTCTGTTTATGAAACCTATCTGCACCTAGACCAATATATGAAAAGATAAAATGTCATAAAGATCATCATTTCCCTTAAAATTAGCATCAAGTTTGATACTGAATGCTATTGTCATAATTCTGAAAAAATGTTTATTCAGCAGAAGGACCACATGCTACATTGCACTGAATGAACAAAGCAAACCATCTGGTTTTAGTCAAGCATCATCTTTGCAGCGATGGAGCCTGCTGCAATTCCACTTGCTTGGTGAAGCCAAGAGCAATTTTAAAAGATTCATATAAAAAAATAGTTTAAAAATAGCGTGACTTGCCTGCACCTATAACGATGTATTTACCTGTCGATTTAAATAAACAGCAAAGTAAGTCACATATACCAACAACAACTACGTGTATATAAAAATGTATATTCTCACAGATTTCTTCCTCCATTCTTCCTGGGTCGATGTGCTGTTCTGTCTGATTTAGGAGGATTTTATAGGTTTCATTTCTCAGGAAATGGGAGCAATTACCAACATGGAACAGCAGGAGGCAGCAGAAGGCGGAATAAGGGCGAGAATCTTTAAACTCCAAGAGCTTTTTAAACGTCCTATTTACTGCCCCTACCTAACTTTGGACTTTCATTTGAGTCGTAACAAGCCATGGGTCTGCGTGAGTATTTTTCAAGTTATTACAGCCTGTCCTTTTTTTTTAATACTTGCTTTGCTTTAAATTGATGCTATTTTTTCTGCCTTTTCTTCATTTTAGTTACAGTTGCTGCATGTTCTGTGGTCGGCGCTGGTGAGATTACATAGAATTTCATCTGCAATAAAATTTTTAAGGAATTTTTCAAAACTGTTTCTTCAGATAGTGATAAGTAAATGTTCCTCTTGTGCCCATAAGGTGGGGCTGCGCTGGCTGCGCCTGTGGTTCTGGGGGCCGTGGGCTTCACGTCTATCGGTATCGCTGCGGGTTCCTACGCAGCCGGTATGATGTCCTCAGTTGCCATCGCTAACGGAGGAGGGGTTGCAGCTGGAAGCCTGGTGGCTATTCTACAGTCAGCCGGTAAAAAATGAAAATTGGGTTTTCCTTTAAAACTTATTTTACAAAAGAAAATAAATCCGTAAGACTGACATGGAGTTCTGATCATCTTCGTGTTTACCTGCAGGGATGGCTGGTCTAGGTACAGCTGCAACTGCCGGTGTGGCAGGTGCCGGGGGAGCTGTTGGAGGACTCCTCGCCCTTATTATTTAAGACAGACACCATTCTACGGAAGCGCATTGCTATCATGCAGGAAAAAAATTTTTTCGATCGCTATCTCGTAATAACGAGTTACGTATCTCGTTTTAACGAGTTACGTATCTCGT